TGAAACTTTCCCCAGGCTAACATCTCTGTTGTAAGATAAAGAATTATAATACAGCAAGGTTGCTGGCTCAAGGACAGACAAGTTACTTGATTGATATGTAAAAATGCTGGGGAAGCTCCTGCAGGGAGAGAGGATGTTTGCTAAGATCAAGCTTTTGTTGGTGGATCAACTTAACCTTTTGCAAATTGCATTATGGAATGTCACTTTGCTTGTTCTACTGATGTTGCCAGCCTATATTATTAAACTATAACCCCACCTATGTTCTTTTCCTGTAATTTCCTGGTCTGGAGAATAAATGCAGGGAAAGAACGCCTGCTCCTGGTTAATTTCCCAAAAGAAAGACTGTCTTTCTCTTGAGGGTTCTGGGAAATTAACCCCTTCTGGGTCTCTCACTGCTCGGAAGAAATGAACTTTGAGTAATCCTTTTTGTGGCTCCGTCACTCAGGCGAAGAAAGGTGACAAATCCATGTGAGGCAAAGCAATAGTATATGAAGTGGGAGATTTGGGTACAGAGACACAGAGACAGACACACACAGAGGGAAGAAGGCCCTGTGAAGATGGAGACAGGAATTGTGATCATGCTGCCACAAGACTGCTGGCAGACGCCAGAAGACATAGGGAAGGATTCTTTCTTAGAGCCTTCGGAGGGAGCGTGACCTGTAACACATTGATTTCAGACTTCTAGCTTTCAGAACAGTGATAGAATACATTTCTGTTGTTTTAAGTCCCCCAGGTTGTGGTAATTTGTTACGGCAGCCCTAGGAAACTAATACATTAGTTCCAGTGACTCACTTGGGAATGCGTGCTTCCTCGCCCTGAAACTCTGGTTCTTTGGGTTTTCAAGGCACCAGCAGCCAGGAAGAGGCCATGGTAGGGCTATGGTTACACAGTGGGAGCAGGAAAGAATATGTTTGGCATCCAGGTGATCTACTGGGGTCCCCATTTACCAAATTTTATGGTAAATGGACAACTGCAGCAATCCTAGTCTGAGCAGGACATAGTGACCCAGGGGATCAAGCCACTAATGGATGATCTTGGTCATGCCACAGATTAGCCACCAAGACTGGCAGAGGTTCAGGCTGAGTGAAGATGACCTATAACAGATAGCCGCAGAGATAAGATACAAATCTGTTGCGGCCCCAAGATGAGCTATAGCAGCAAGGGCTATAGCTTGTCGCATTAGCCTTTCTCTCCTAAATTAACACCCCCCTTCTCCAAGAAGTGGGATCCACTAGAGTCTGGTGCCTCTCCCAGTCTTTACACAGATGTGGGTCTGAGAGTTACAAGGCCTGGACTACAAAAGATGCTTTGAGAAATGCCCACGCAGATCCCCTTTCAGAAATGAGGGGATTTACTGTCCAGCGGCTCCGATTGCTGCAGAAGGCATCCCTCTTCTCTGCCCACTCCCTTGGGCATCTTTGGCCTTTGCTGAAGAAAACAGCCCAACCCAAGGTCACACCTCCTTCTAGGGGCAGCCTGCACCCTAATAACTTAACAATGCAGAAATATTTTATATTACACCCGGCCTCAGCACCCTAGAATCTAAACATGTGGAACATTTGTGAAATGGATTAGTCTAATTAAACAAAGATTAACTGGCAAGTTGCACAGTGTTTTGTAATCCACTCAGACCTGTGGTTCCTCACCCCTGGTAGACTTCAGGATTACTTGGAAAGCTAACTTATCATGGTATTGGGGCCCTGACTCCCAGACAGATTCTATCTTAACTGACTTGGTGCGGATCAGATCATGGGTATTTTCTAAAACTCTTCCAAGATGATTGATGTGCAGCCAGTATTGAGAAACACTGACAGACACATGGAAATAAGTCAGTGTGGAGTGGGTCGAGGAAGTGACGCTGATATTTACCCTCCTTCGTACTCCCATTTTCACCCAATTTTTAGTCACTTGCTTTGTCTCACCAAGGCCTCAGGGATCCCAACAGCATTAATTCCCTGACCTGTAGGAAGCACTGATGAATATTAGCTAAAAGACTGCTTTAGTGAGATCTTCACATTCTAGCATTTTGGTTGTTTTGTGCCAACTTTCCTGTCTGGCTGTTTCTGTGTTCCTTACTAGGAAATCTGAATCACTTTTGTCTGCCTAGATTCCTGTTCTCCTGCAGCTCTGGCCTTTATCAGTACACATTCACCTCTAACCTGTTTACTTCCAACCCTGAAATTCCTCATTGTTATAATAGTTGGTTCTATCTCTGCAGGATGCCCCTTCAACTACTGTGTCCTCTTTTTACCAACGCTACATGGAAGCAAAAAAAAAAAAAAATGGGAAGAGGGTAATACATTCGCTTCCTGCTCTACTCTGTTTGGTTTCACAGACAACTTTAGGAGTAATAAATTTCCCAGGAAATTTTCAAATTCATGCAATTTTTTTTTTAATTTGCTAGCAAGGACTCATATACTCATGTACACACAAAACTAAAACCCTTCTAATAAACTTTCAAGCCAGAAACAGACTCCATTTGAAATCTCTTCCAGTTACTACCACTTTCAATTACCAGATGGTCGTCTCTACTCAAACTAGGTCTGAAGTTCCTGTGCTTCTCTTGATCTGATGAATACTAAGAACTACTAATGATTACTCATGGGACTTTTATATGTGCAGAGGAACGTCACCTCCTTTAAATAAGCAACCGTATCACTGACAGATTTTTAATAAGACTAACTGTTTCCCAATTTTCTTTACCTATCTGTGACCTCAACTGCAGAAGGACCTGTATTTCCTCTGATGCTTATTCAAATCATTTTTCATATTTTACTGCTGTGAGAATACTAAAACAATGTTTACTGTAACTTTTCCTTAAATTACATTTAAAAAGTGATATTGAATTTACTGAAATAATATATATTTAGAGATTATTTTTATTTATTTATTTCATTTTATTGCTTTTTTGGGGTGGGTGGCCAGTACAGGGATCCAAACCCTGGGCCTTGGTGTTACAACACTGCACTCTAACCAGCTTAGCTAACTGGCCAGCCCCCTATTTAGGGATTATTTTTAAATTGGCTTTTGCCAAAATTGTAAAATGGGAGTTGCTTGCAAAATAATCTTTTTCCTATGTGCATTTGCTGTTGGGTATGATTATGCAGTTATTTATGGCTGATGTGTCACAAATGCAATAATTAAAATAAAAAAAGATGATTAGTGCCATCTGTCACATCAGTAATGGTTTTAAAGACAAAATTTTCAAAAAGAGAGAAATTTAGGGTATGATTATGCAGTTATTTATGGCTGATGTGTCACAAATGCAATAATTAAAATAAAAAAGATGATTAGTGCCATCTGTCATATCAGTAATGGTTTTAAAGACAAAATTTTCAAAAAGAGAGAAATTTTAAAAAAAGAACTGAACATGTTTAACAACTGTAAGCCATGGTTAAGCCCATAAAAGTTAACATTCCAGACTAGCATCCTTCCCTATATTCTCAAACTATCTATCCCCCTAATGGCCTTTAATGTATTTTAACATCTTTTAGGTTAAACTATTCCACTAACATATCTCCAAAGGTCTATTTTTGCTTATCATTTCTTTGTCTTTTTTGTTTTTTTAATTACAGAATCCTGTATTACCTGCATTGACCTACCTATAAATCACAGTCTTCCAAAGAGAAATGAAAATACCTTCTAATAACTCCTAAAATCATTTCTTCACTAAAACTTTCCTCTGCTTAAATATATTATTGATAAGTATTGGATTGAGGTAGACAGTTTTTAAATCATGGCAATTGTAGGAAGGGCAATCTATCTTTAGAATTCAGGGTTTTAAAATAATATGCATGTGATGTAATGCAAAATTTTTACAATGTGAATTTAGATTTAATATTCCTGTCCATTCCTCAGTTAGACAGA